GATGAACATTGAGGTTGTTGTTGGCTTTTGCTTTTATAAACACTGCTGTAATGAACATATTTGTTTATACTGTTTACCTTTTCCCATTCATATGAGTGTATCTGTAAAAGAGAATTTTAGATGTGGAGTTGTGGGCCCAAGGGTTTGTTTCAAGAGTTTGCTTTCCAGTGCCGGCCAGGTAGCTCAGGAGGTCAGAGGATCGTTCCAACAGGCCGAAGCTGTGGTTCCATTCAGGTCAGGGCACCTATGAGAATCAACCAACGAATACAGGACTAAGTGGAACAACAAACCCATGTTTCTCTCTCCCTTTCAAAATCAATAAATTAAATTTTTATAAACAAGTTTATTAAAAACATAGCTATCTAGTCACATAAATATATCTATATGTAAAACACATGAAGAGAAAAACAAATGAAAGGAAACCGCAATAGTTAAGTTATGCCTAAAGGATTCATGCAGTACGAGCATGCAAAAAACACACAAAAATATAAGTGAAAAACTTTGCATAGAAATAAACCATCAAAGGGCATATACATAAATATTAAGTCGCTTTCTTTAGGTGGGATTGTGGTGGCTTCATACTTTTTCTCAAGTGTTTTACATTGAATATGAATTTCTTTTCTACTCAGGAAACAATATCACAGATATTATGAAAAACATCTCTCTTTTCATTGATTTTTTTAAACTACTCATTCTTTTTTTATTTGAGAGAGAGAAGGAGAGGGGGGAGAGAGAGAGAGAAACATCAATTCGTTGTTCCACTTATTCATGCATTCATTGGTTGAGTCTTGTTTGTACCCCGACTGGAGATTGAATCCACAACCTTGGCGTGTATACGGAGGACTCTCTAACCAACTGAACTACCTGGCCAGAGCTAAAACATCTCTTATTTTAATTACAAAAGGCAATACACAGTCATTGAAATTAGTCAAAAATAAATGTTAAGCAAAAATGTTAATACTGCCCCTCTCCCCCAAATTCGATCCCTTAGGTAAACAACGTTCAAGGTCTGATGAGACTACTTCCATACTTTTTTCTAGAGCATGTTATTTTTACCCCGGAAAACAAATAAGTACAAGGTCTTTTTAAAAAAAGTTTTTGTTGTTGTTGCTGTTAATTTAAAGCCTCCCTGGCCCTTTCGCAGGACAAATCTCCCCCTGCCCCCGCCCCTCCCCCTCCCTCTCTACCGAGCTGTTTGCCCCCTTTCCACGTCCAAACATTTTGCCCTCAAAGACACCCACTTGGGGCTCTGCTCCCTGGAGGCACCTGCGCTGGGCCTTGGCCCAGGTTCAGCAGAAACCAAGGCCAAGCCTAGGAAGCACCCGCCCAGCGCCAGCCGCACTGGGCCCGGGAGACCAGCGCGCCGGCCAGGGGAGCGAGGGGCCCGGGGCCGGCCAGGCGCAGGGCTCCCAGAGAGGCCTCCCTCCCGCGGGGTGGAGTCTGAACCCGCTCCCTCCCGCCCGCCGGCTTTCTCTAGGAGTAATTAAGAGTGAAATCCTCCTCCTGGTGACCCCGGTGCTCCCGGCCCGGGCTGATTTACACATGAAAGGTCTACGGAGGGCCCCGGCTTTCTCCTTTTCACATTCACAATGAGGAGCGGCCTATAAATAAAACCTCTCTGAGAAACAAGAGGCTTCAGAAATGTCTTTGTGTGCGTGCGCGCGCGCGCGCGCGCGTGTGTGTGTATGTGTGTGAGTGTGTGTGTGTGTGTGTGTGTGAGAGAGAGAGAGAGAGAGAGAGAGAGAGAGAGAGAGAGAGAGAACGAACCAGGGACCACCTCATAGCAGCTGCTGTTGACTGAGTGCTTGCTGTGTGTCAGGCATCAGGCATCAGCCTTGAGAGAGAGACTTGATGGCCCCTATTTTGTAGATGAAGAAACTGAGGTTCAGGGAGGGGAAGCCCTGCCCGAGGTCCCACGCAGTGAATTAGGGGGAAAGTACAGACAGAAAATGGATGAGCGTAAGATGCAAATGCTGTGCTATGTCTCTATTATGATAGTAGTTACAGGACCGTGTGTGTATTTGTCATAGGACTATAATCTAAAAAGGGAGAATTTTACTCTATGTAAAGCATCTTGAAACAACCATGACTCTAAAAAGTAAAATATTATTAAGTATATACCAAAAAACCCAAAACAAACGAAGACACCAATGGGCCATGCGTGGGTGAGGTCCCCTGGGTGGTTGGGGCCTCTCTGTGTCCTTTCCTCTAGTGAGAGTGTCTCCTTACTCACTTCTCTATCCTCAGGCTTGGGGTCTGATACTGGGGAAATGTAGATACAGAGGAAATGTTTGCTTTCTTAAATGAATGAATGAGCTAAATAATCCTCTTTGGACCTATTTCTCTATAAAATGAGAAATTGATGAACACTAAGGGGAACTCCTCCCAATCAGCTCAGAAGTCACCTCCTCCAGGAAGCCTTCCAGATCCCCTCCCACTTCCAGATCGGATCAGGAGCCTCTTCTGGGATCTCAGAGCCAGATTATATTCCCATCCCTGCATTGATCATACTGTATAGTATTTGTCTGTTTCTGCATGCCCTTCACGTGAATATTCAATTTCTCTGCAGTAGGATCTGTGTCTGTTTTGCTCATCTTTGGACTACCAGTGCCTGGCACATAGCAGGTGGGATATCTGGTGAATAATAAATTAGTGCATTTATTAGTTCTGGTCTGAGGTTCAAAATTGAATCATGCTGGTGTTGCTGGAGCTAGGCGAAGGTCCGAGGCAACAGAAACGGGCCAGGGGACAGAACCAGGAAATCCCTATGCAACAGAGATGAGTTGAAAGGCCTGACTGCTAGAGCATGAAGAAAACAATCCTGCTGTGACCTCTGCAGGAAATCCAAGTGCCCTCCTGCACGGAGCAGGGGGGCCCAGAGGAGAATAGCCAGACTCTTGAGGGCAGATGGTTGGGGGGTGGGGGGGGATGGGCAGCACTGAGCTGGCAATCTGCCTGCATCTATTTGAGCCTGGGGGTGGAGTGAGACACGTGGGGTCCATGACTGTGGTCAGGTTCCAGCTCTTCTACTTCTTAGCTGTCAATCATCCTCATCAAGCCTCAGTCTCCACATCTGTGTAGTGGGTAGGCGTGTAATTGTGTCTACTTCAACACATTAATAAGAAGGGCAAAGGGCCATATGAGGTCAGAGTGCTTGCTATTGCGTAGCTGCTCAGAGAAAGTGTAACAACCCCTGACATCTTTTCCTCTTTTTCCCAAATGTTTTTCACCCTAACTACAGCTGCCACTCTTGAGTTCCTAATAATATTAACTAGTCCTAATGTTTACTGGGTGCCTGCTATGTGGCAAGCACTGTCCTGTGCACTTTACATGCAGTATCTCATTTAATCTTCACAATCACCTTGTAAGGTAGGTTTGTTATTATTCTTATTTTCCAGAGAAGAAACAGGGTCAGAGAGATGTAGTGACTTATCCAAGATCGCAAAGCCTCTAAGTGGTACACCTGGGATGTGAAGCAGGTGTTACCTTCAGGGAGCACAGTGATCCCTGGGAGGGCTTGTTCCAAGGCAGATTGCTGGCCCCATCCCGAAGTGTCTGATGCAGCAAGTCTGAGGTGGAGCCTGAGAATTTGCATCTCTAACAAGTTCCCAGGTGATGTTGCTGTTGCTGGTCCTGGAGCACACTTTGGGAACCGTGTCCTAATACCAAGATTTCTCCACTGTCATTATCCCAATTAGGCATGTAATGTCACGTCCAGACTATTACAATAGACTCGATTCAAAGAATTTGAAGTCTAGTATAGTTCATTTAGCACTTGGCACATACACTTTCATCCATTTTAAAGGTGCAAAAAATAACTAGAAACTATAAATGAGCAGGAAGAAGGACAGAATTAGCTCTGGTCTCACCAATTACTCAGAGAGGTGGCTTTTTGTTACACACCATTGTATAGTAGAAGCTTTCTAAATGAATTACTGTAACTCACTGGATTAAGAAGTCACTGGGGCTGGCTTGCTGGATTAACCAACACTCGCCTTGTCTACTGCAAAAACCCAGAAAGAAGTGATGCCCGCAGCAGCTGGTGGACTCACCTCTGCAGCGTGGCCAGCCACTAACTCCTGCTGACTCAATGGTGTGGCTGTGTGTTTACCAAGAGTCAGCTGCATTGGTTCTCCAATCGGTTACTCTTGTTATGAAATCATATAATTGTACCCGACAAACAGATGACATAGGAGTGGGAAAAGAAAACCGATGTGTCTATAAACCCAGCTGAATGCTTTGGAAAGACACTTAAAAAGTAAGTTGGTGCATGTTGTCATAAATTTGTCCAAACCCGTAGAATGGGCAACACCAAGAGTGAACCCTCATGTGAACTATGGACTTGAGGTGATAATGATGTGTCAGCGTAATTCATTCATTGTAATAAATGTCCCACTGTGGTGGGGGATGTTGAGAATGGAGAGGCTGTATGTGTGTGAGAGTGCCAGGTATATGAGAAATCTCTGTACCTCTTATGTTGTGAATCTACAAATGCTCTAAAAAGTAAAGTCAAGTCTAAAAAGAAAGAGAAAAGGAAGGGAAGGGAAGGGAAGAGAAGGGAAGGAAAAGAAGGAAGGAAGGGAAGGGAAGGGAAGAGAAGGGAAGGAAAAGAAGGAAGGAAGGGAGGAAGGACGGAAGGGAGGAAGGGAGGGAGGGAGGAAAGAAGGGAGGTGGAGCAAAGCCATATCCTATGAGCCAGAAATAAACTTTTGTCATAAGCCACTGGGAGTGGGAGGAGTTAGTGGCCTAGACAACTAAAGACTGTTGAGTCGGGATGAAGGTGAAATTCTAATAATCTGGACAACTAGAGCCTTCAGATCTACATCAACTTTTAAGAAGTCCAAGCTAGAGCTCAGGGGAGCGGTTCATGCAAGCAAGACGTGGGGGAATGCCAACCAGCTGACTCAGATCAGGCTCAAAGAAAAGGCTTTGGCCCCACATCAAAAGATTGGTGAATTAATATATAGCAATAGGATTTTAAGTTAAAATGGAATATTTAGATTCTTTTGTAGTTCACAAGGGTGATGACTGAGTGTTCACACTCTTATGTGAGATGTGCCTCCCCCAAACCTTGTTAGGACGTCAGCACATTACCCATCTGACGTGAAAAAAGAAAGAAAAAAAAAGTATTTAAAGGTTGTATTTTTTTTATCACTTCCTGCTTCAATGGACTTTTTCGTTAAACTTACCAACTACTCATCTGATTGGATTGGATAAAGAAGCCCCTACTGTAAGTTTTTTAAAAACTGAAAACAGGGAGGGCATGGTGCTGTTCTTAATTATTTATTGATTTGTTTCATCTCTCTCTCCAGCCAATTGTATCTAACTAATATTAGTGCAGCACTTCTCAGGTTATAAAACACTTTCTTTTTTTCCCTTTCGTTCTCATAACTCTGGGCAGCAGGTCTTATTACCCTGGTTCTCGAAGGCGGGAAACGGAGGCTCAGAGAAGGGCAAGAAAGGTTCAGGTACAGCTGCTGGGACGGCTTTCAGCCGGGCGGGAACCTTGACTGACTGGGGGAAGTGCCGAAGTGCCGAAGTGCCTCCAGGGCCCTGCGGCAGCAAAAGAATGGGAATAAAAGCACAAGTCCTGCCCAGCGGAGGAGGAGGGGCCTTGGGGCAGGCACTGGGAGGTGAGGAGTAGAGGCTAAGGTGTCATTGTGTCTGGATCCTGGCACACAGTGGGCCCGCAGGACAGAGTTGGTGCTTGGTGGACAAAATGAGGAGTGAATGAACATATAAATGAACCAAGTGAGAAACTTGGAGCCAGGCCCCTTCTCTCTCTGGACTCAGTTTCCTCGTCTTTCAGTAGTTGAAAGTTAAAACTCTCCTCCTTAGGAAAATGGACAGACAGACATAATTTTACACTGTATTTCCTAATGTTCATAGACGATCCTTTTGGATGTCCACTTCCACGGAGCCCTGAGTGGGGATTCTTTGAATGCAAGGATCTGAGGTTTCTTCCAGCTGACGTTAATAGGTGTAATGACAACAACAACAACAACAACAGTATCCAGAAGTTTTTGGACACAGACTCTGGACCAGGCACTGTGCTAACAGCTGTATCTCATTTAATCCTGTCACGGCCTTGTGATGCAGCCTTTATTATTGTTATTATTATCACCTCTGTTTTGCAGATGAAGAAATTGAGGCTTAGAGGGACTAAACTTGCTCAAGTTGCACAACCAGGAAGTAGGGTCCTCGTTTTCCAATTGAGCCCTGTGGACACCAGAGTTCGGACGCTCTCCCACCTTCATTCTAGGGAAGTAGAATCACAATCCATGTGGCTCTTTCAAGGCCAAACTCCAGTTGCTATATTTGGAGACTGTATTATAATGCTGGCAACCACTCATTCACTCAAATGCTCGTTGAACCATCATGTTTGAACACTTCCTGGGTGCCAGGCACGGCTAGTGGGGGGTTCATGGGATCATAGTCCTTGCCTTTGAGCAGCCCTGGTTATTACATTGTTCCCCTGACACCTCCCTTACCAGATTCATGGTGTGAGCTGTTACAATGCAGATTCCCAGGCTCTGCTGCAGACCCAGAATCAGACGCTCTGAGGCTGAAGCCTGGGAACCTGTTTTTTACAAGTGACTTACAGGCATTGAGGTGTGGGAACCCCTGAGTGGAGGGAGAGGTGGTCTAGACAAACAAAAAAGCAATTTTTACACAGAAAAATAAAAAAGTGTTCTATACAGGTTATAGGGTTGCCAGAGAAGGCTTCTTGGAGGAGGTGACCTTTAAGATGAGCCCTGAATGGTGAGTAGAAGTGAACAGGCCAAGGATAAGAGGAAGAGACAGCCCAGGTGAAGCCGGAGCAAGGGCAGAGGGCCGGCAGGGGAGAGCAACAAACAGAATGGTGCGCCCAGTCGGAAAGAGGCCCCTGATGCAGCCTGGGGAACCAGGGGAGGCTCTGAGTTTTCCAGTGCTTCCTCAGATACAAGCTTTTCAGCTTCCTCCCATCCTGGGTGAAGACAATGGGTGTGGAAGGGAATCCGGGCTGGCTGGGAGGAGGTGTGGTCTCCCAGGACTTTAGAAGCCTGTTAGAAGCCTCTTATCAGCCGACTAATGGTGGGCGGAAGCCCAATCTTTCCTCCTCTAATCTGGATGCTGTTTCCACCTTCATTGTCAATGTTAAGCCTTTGTTTGTTTGAACAAAGTCCTAATATCTAGAGTCCTTAGTGCCTGCAGTAAATGGTGACATTTGAATAAGTGGAGGGGAATTGCTTTGTAATGGCACCCGGAGGACACCTGCTTCTTAGATCTGCCCTGATGGAGGAATCACAAGAGCTCTTCCTTCTTGGTATGACCCTCATGGCTACCAATGGTGGTGCATCCTTGGGTGGTAGTAGGACTCTGGTCAGCCTGGATTCAAATCCCCTCCCAGCCCTTTTCTGTCCCCTTCCAATACCTCAACATCCTCCTGTGACCAAAAAGGCTAATAATAAGTAACTACTCCATCCAAAGAGCTGTTTGGAGAAAGGGATGAATTTTCCTATGAAATGCTTAAATGCCTGGCACACAGTAGGACTGCAGGAAATATTGGGTAGAACCACCTGACTCACTTCCACAGGCTGGCCGGGCCCCAGGCTGGGCGGGGCGAGTGTCTCTTTGAAAGGCTCACCCTCAAGCAGGACTAGGAGCCTTTGGAGCACAGAGGCCTTTGAGGGGCCCCTGTGCATCCCCCTGGTGTCTGGCTTCTGCCAGAGCCCCTCCCCCAAACAACTAGCATCTTTTTAATCACCCTGGAGCCCTCTCCCATGTATTGGACCCAATGGTAACAATAAAGCTTTTTGCAGGAAAGGAAAGGAAAGGAAAAAGACAAGAAACAAAAATGTTGGGTATTATTCAGGCCTCAGAAAGAATGCAAAGTGTTGAAGATACAATAACAAAAGAGAAATTAAATGTTCTAATGGAACTTATACTTTAATGAGAGAGATAAATAATGAAGTAAAGAGAAACAACAACACAGAGTATATTTGTGCTGGTGCTATTAAAAAAGATGGTACCTGCTATAAAGAAGGGAGGGCTCCGTTAGAGAGAGTGCCCAGGGGAAGCCTTTTGGAGAAGGCTGAGGTTTAAGGGGAGCCGCAGTGCATGACAAGCAGGCAGAAGAGGGTTCCAGGCAGAGGGCAGAACAGTTGCAAAGGCCCTGGGGTGGGAACGAGGCTGGCTTGCCCCAGAAACTAACAGGAGGCCAGTGTGGCTGGAGTGTGATCCCATCCTTCCCGTCTCCACTTTCCAGATGAAGAGAGGAGCCTCTGAGAAAGCAAATGACTTGCCAGCGGCATGCAGGGAGCATTGGCAGCAACGTCTGAACCCGGATTTAGTCTGACCAGGAATTTTATCAAATGTTTTAATTTCACCATTTTGCACCAGGGTTCAAGTTCATTCAATGTTCATGAACGTGAACGGAGACCCTAAGTCTGATTTAAGCCTGAGAACAGCCTTTATCACTGGCAAGGTTTTAATAGGCCTCCTCTCCACCTGGGTCATTTGTGCCGACATCTGCCAATGTCAACACGAATCATGTATAATGTTGGGATCAATGCTACATGCGTACCTGGCAGAGGGGTGGAGATTAGAAAGTAAGAAGAGAAACTGACGGTCCAAGGTCAGGCTCACAGGCAGGCCAGCCTCCCCTTTCTTCCCCTCCTGCAAAGTCTACAAATGAAAACAAGGTCACAGGTGCCATTTAAATCTGCAGTAGCTCTAAAGGGTGGGCCCATGGAGCACTTAGACCTTCTAATGTATTTGTATCTGAAGTTTTTACCACAAGCCTATTTTCTTTTGGCATCAGAAGAAGAACAACAGCAGCAAAATAATAAAAATGTTTAATGTAAAAAACTTTTTAGAGCAATTAGCATTTATTACTGTGCAGCCTGTCAGAGGAAATGCAGACATAGGAGTATAGTGATTGCCTGGGTAGAGTTTAGGATATAACCGTGAAGCGCATAGAATTGTTAGATTAAAAACAGAAGACATGACGTTACATTGCATGTATCATAATTTAAAAAAGCAGAATCACCTCACTTAAAAACTGGCCCTGGCTGGTCTGGCTCAGTGGATTGAGTGCCAACCTACCTGCAAACCAAAGGGTCTCCGGTTTGATTCCCAGTCAGGGCATACATGTGGGTTGTGGGCCAGGTCCCCAGTGGGGGGTGCGTGAGAGGCAACCACACACTGATGTTTCTCTCCCTCTCTTTCTCCCTCTGTTCCTCTCTCTATAAATAAATAAATTAAAAATGATTGATTAATCATCTGGTTTGTGTCAGCCACTGTGTTGGACTTTGGGATGTAAGAGTAAACAAGACAAAGTGCCTGCTCACGTGGAGCTCCCAGCCTACATAGAAGTTAGTGAAATGACAAGGGGAAGAGCACTAAGGAGGGAACAGCATAAGCGAGGGCCCTGAGGTTGGAAGGGGCTTGACCTGTTTCAGAATGAATGAGGGTTCCTTAGTAAAAATGGTGGAGACAGTCAAGGATTGTATCCTTTAGGAGGTCAGAGTATGGCGTTTGGATGTTATCCTAAGGGAACAGGCAGCCATTGAATGTTTGCAAAAAGGCGTGGTGGGATGGCAGGTTTGCCCTGTAGAAGGGCCACCCTGGCTGCTGTGAGAATAGACTGGAGATGGCGAAGCTGTAAGGAGAGGGACCAGCCCGAGGCCACTGCAGTTGTCCGGGGAGAGAGAGTAGTGACTACGCCTGAGCAGGGATGGAGAAGATTACACAGACATTTCAAGGTAAAATCCACTTGATGGTTGATTGAATGTGAGAATGAAAGAGGAGACAATGAGAAAAACTGACTCCTAGTTTGTTAGCTTGGGGACTGGGTAGCGCCGTTATAAGGCCACCTACCTAATGATAAGAGACGCCTGAAATTAATAATGTACTTAGGAGAGTCGGGCAAGGAGACAACCATCCATCTCACATGGTACAATGAAATGTGCTAAAACAGAGACACTGGCAGGACCTCTTGGGGCAGCGATGGGGGAGGGGTAGATTCTGGCTGGGGAACCTCAAAAGGCAAAGCGATCACAATAGATGGAGGAGCTGAAGAGAACCTAGAGACAAGGAGACTGGGAAGATGACAACGTGATG